TGGTTAGAGTATTACCCTAACTTAAGATATCAACAGCCCAATACTTGGTTAGAGTATTACCCTAACTTTATATATCAACAGCACAATACTTGGTTAGAGTATTACCCGAACTTTAAATATCAACAGCACAATACTTGGTTAGAGTATTACCGTAACTTTAGATATCAACAGCACAATACTTGGTTAGAGTATTAACCGAACTTTAGATATCAACAGCCCAATACTTGGTTAGAGTATTACCCTAACTTTAGATATCAACAGCACAATACATGGATAGAGTATAACCCGAACTTTAAATATCAACAGCCTTTACTTGGTTAGTGTTTTACCGTTTCTTTAGATATCTACGGTCCAATATTTATAAAATCGATGTCATACTAGAACATCTGTACAATCTACCTGCTATCCTATTTTAGAACAGCAGTTTTATGTGCTAAACTGTTGTAAAGTATGGCCGGATGTCTGACGTCATACAACACTTAGTAACTGATGTCATCTCAAGTAAACACACCAGGCAATTGTGTAGTATCATATCAAACATGGCTATAATGTATACGATATGTCCTGAATACCTCGAGCGCTCGAAATATTCTCCCGAACGCTCGGTATATTATGTACAAGATGTAGACAGTTCAAACAAATAGATATATACACAAATACATAAGTCAGTGTCCTTAACATATCATCGAAGGATAAAATATACTCATGTTTACGAGACCATAAATCAATCGGTTGAGAACCAGAAGGGAACTGAGTCAAGTTGGTCTACAGACATGACAGAAGGTAGGACCTATTCCGATAATTGACGTGATACATTATGTGTACGAATCATTAAATAATTTAGGTATTTTTGCTTCACACGTGTACATACCTGTGGAATGTTATCCAATTCTGTTTTCATAATAAATCAATGAGATCATTTCGTTGTTATTCGATTATCTAGACCTAGTTATTGGGACGGCGTCGGTGAAACATTATGCACCTGTATAAGTTATCCCCTGTCCCTAGAGCTCAGCTAACACCAAGTGGAGAAATCACCGATGTAACAGGTCCTTATAACTATTTCCACTCATTTGTTTTGAAGCATTGTCTAAATATCTCGTAAAACGAATTTGTTTTTGATTTCATGGATGATATCGATAAGTTGATCTCGTAACTTTAATGATCTGTAACTTTAAATTCATATGTCAGGCAGAGCTGATCGTATGTGTAAGTGTATACGACCACACACAGTGGTGTAACACACAGTGATGTAACACACAGTGATGTTACACACAGTGGTGTAACACACAGTGATGTTACACACAGTGATGTCACACACAGTGATGTAACACACAGTGATGTTACACACAGTGATGTTACACACAGCGATGTTACACACAGTGATGTAACACACAGTGGTGTAACACACAGTGGTGTAACACACAGTGATGTAACACACAGTGATGTAACACACAGTGGTGTAACACACAGTGGTGTAACACACAATGGTGTAACACACAGTGATGTAACACACAGTGATGTAACACACAGCGATGTTACACAGTGATGTAACACACAGTGATGTAACACAGTGATGTAACACACAGTGATGTAAAACACAGTGATGTAACACACAGCGATGTTACACACAGTGATGTAACACACAGTGATGTAACACAGTGGTGTAACACACAGTGATGTAACACACAGTGATGTAACACACAGTGATGTAACACACAGTGATGTAACACACAGTGATGTAACACACAGTGATGTAACACACAGTGATGTAACACACAGTGATGTAACACACAGTGATGTAACACACAGTGATGTAACACACAGTGATGTAACACACAGTGATGTAACACACAGTGATGTAACACACAGTGATGTAACACACAGTGATGTAACACACAGTGATGTAACACACAGTGATGTAACACACAGTGATGTAACACACAGTGATGTTACACACAGTGATGTTACACACAGTGATGTTACACACAGTGATGTAACACACAGTGATGTAACACACAGTGATGTAACACACAGTGATGTTACACACAGTGATATTACACACAGTGATGTAACACACAGTGATGTAACACACAGTGATGTAACACAGTGATGTAACACACAGTGATGTAACACACAGTGATGTAACACACAGCGATGTTACACAGTGATGTAACACACAGTGATGTAACACAGTGGTGTAACACACAGTGATGTAACACACAGTGATGTTACACACAGTGATGTAACACACAGTGATGTTACACACAGTGATGTAACACACAGTGATGTGACACACAGTGATGTAACACACAGTGATGCGTAAGCAAATTCGATTTGTACATCACGTTATTAAGCAACATTGCATATTACTGTGAATTAAGTGAATCACATTTGTAATTTGATAGTTTTAAGCCTAAATAGGTATGGTAGATAAAACTATAGCGGATACTGGTAATATATTTTTTAACAAGCGGCACTATAGATATTATTATTCAAAACAACTTTTTAATATTCTCAGGAATCAAACCTCATATGCATCAATTTTAGGTATTGCAGTACGTGTTTATTTTTTTATGTACAAAATAATATTACAAATAATACTTTTGTTCCATATGCCGTCTCACTTGCTGAAATAACATGTCAAGGTCCATTTTCTCTTTTTCTTAAAAAAAATCCTTTAAACGTTTCCTCCAAATTACCGCCAAATACCATTTGTAACGTTAACATTCATCCTGACAAATGGTTTCCCTGTATGTCGAATACAAGTAAAGAGGACGAAAAAGACAACACCATGTATAACATAGTCCTTTTGTAGTTCTTAACGAGGTGATGAGTTTCGTTAAAAACCCAGGAAACTATAATACAAGTTATTATAAGTGCAGTTATGTCAAATACAATCCAGTGTTAGAATCAAACAGGGTAAACGTGGCGGCCATTCTGAACAACCGTAACACCTCTTTTTAGCGTGTCAATCTTATGGAACTGTTGGTACTGTGACGTTTAAATACTTACACATTTTATATATAAAAATACATTTGAAATGCCTTCTGTACGATGGTAAACAAAGTATACTAGAGTGTGACAAAGCCGTAATTCTGAATTAAAATCGATAAACAAGGGTAAAGTATGAACAAATGAAAGATTTACGCTGAGAACTTGTAAGGTGAAAAAGACTAGGTGTTCCATATTGGTAAGCCTCTTATGCTTCATCATTTTGCGGTATATTTCGCCACAATATTACTAGATCTTGAAAAAATGTTTTGATTATGAACATTCAAATGATAATAATGCTATTTGTGATAAATTATTGTCTGTCTTTGAATTAATTTCTTACTACAAAACGATGACAAGAGAAAGGTTCATATGGTGCTTTAGTACTTTTTAGTCATTCCTCAATTGAGACTACAGCCGTTGCTGTATGCAAGTGTGAACGAGTTGCCTCCCTTATTATTGGAATGGAATCGTACTTTGTAATGATAGCAAAATTATGCTTTTTAAAGTAGTTATGCATCAAAATATTGGCAGAAACTTATCCATTATAATAACATAGTTTTAGTTTCATTTTGCAGAATATTTCAATTGAGCTTACATGGAACTGGTCCACTTCTCACAACGCAGCGTTTTTTCCACTTGCTGGTAAATGTAATTAAGAGGGGGCTAATATTGAACTCCCTTGCAAAATCAGTTATTTGGTCATATTTATCCTGCTTAGAGACACTACAGGAACCAAAATGTTTTGCAGCCCCAATTGCAGCTCTTGGATGCTCTATCTCCTCTTGTCTCTCCCACCAATTCGTTCTTTTCGGTGGCGTTCACTTGGCTTCCGTCTCATTATGCCCTTAGCCGTCGCGAGTAGTAAAACCAGTAAATTCATTAAAAATCATAAGAAAAGAAACGATTTTAGGAGAAAACCTGAGAAACAGGTATATCGCCCTTATTTACATATTTGGCACACTGACATCACTAATAGTCCGTAATACTTCATCTCACTGACAAAATCAAGTTAAGCAGGGTTAAACATACATCTTCATACAACTTACTGGCGGCAATATTGGATCCAACTTGGCATCCTTACATGAGAAAATCCTAACGTATCTATACGTTTTAGTGGAATATGTTATCGGCGGTTCGGCTGTTCGTCAAACTTGACATTTCCGCTCAATTGAAAGCATTATTCATCCGTTAACCAAAAGCACTGCCATATTGGGTAAAGGTTTTTGGAAAGGAAGAGATATAAATGTGCACAAAATAAGCTTAGAGTTTTAAATATAGATATAACATAACTTATTCCACAATACTTCAAGAATTTAAATAAAGATATAACATAACTTATTCCACAATACTTCAGGAATTTAAATAAAGATATAACATAATTTATTCCACAATACTTCAGGAATTTAAATAAAGATATAACATAACCTATTCCACAATATTTCAGGAATTTAAATAAAGATATAACATAACTTATTCCACAATACTTCAGGAATTTAAATAAGTATATAATATAATTTGTTCCACAATACTTCAGAGTAAAATTCTGAATTCAAAATACACATATATTTAAATATGTTCAACAATACTTTAGAGTTTTAAATAAAGACACAACATAACTTGTTCCTCAATACTTCAGGTCAACAAAGTATTGCAGACGCCGGTTTAAAGCTGTCCCCGGACAAGTGCTGGCTCTTTAAGAGGAAAATCAAGTATGTAGACCACATAGTTTTCGGGGACGGAATAGAGCCGGACCTAGACAACATTGAGAAGGTTGTAGCCTGGCCGCAGACAAGAAATCCGGGGGAAGCGAGAAAATGTATGGAATTTTAGCAGGATCGCAAAGCCCCTGATGATCTTGATGCCAGTTCCGATGCCGACATAGAAGGGTGATTAGAAATCTAAGCGTCAATTGGGCAGAAGACCAGGAAGAAGCTTCCACAGCATTAAAGTCACGCCTATGTGGACCACCTGTGATGGGATATCCGCTTACGCCAGCAGAGGGCTATCAAGACCACAGACAAGGTATCATGCACATCGACTAGAGTTTCTTGCTTAAAGAAGGTCGGAAACTGAAATGTTTAGGAATTACTTAGTTGGATGGCATGTCGCAGGAGACACAGATAACAACCCCCTGACGTAGTTAGTACACAGAGATGGCTGCAGATTTGGATTTCATTATTGTTTATCGTCCAGGTCTAAAGAACCGAGGTGCGGATGGCACGTCACGTCATTCTTCACTAGAGGGCAGAGCAGAGACAAGGGTAATTACCAATGATATGGTCAAAGCGATCAACACTAGCAACTGAGTACTCCATTTCCATGTCAGCAGAAACAGTAGTCATCATCAGTGATCCAGGTGATATTAGTACAGTAATATATTTAACTGACAAAATAAATTAAGCTGGTAATACATACATCTTCCCACAACTTACTGGCGACCTTTTTGAATCAATCTTGGTACCGCATAATGAGACCATTGAAAGAGCCATTACGTTACCATGGAACATCATATTAGGTGATCGTACTGTTCCTAAGGTTGCCAATAGGAATCTGAAGGAAACATTTTTTAATATGAAAACAATAAATTATGGTAAAAAATACTTCATATTTTTATAAAATAAACAAAATAAAACATGTTCCACAATACTTCAGAGTTTCAAAACTAATGTGGAAAATGGTAAGAATTCTTCAGAGTTTTACAAACAAACGATACAACTCACATACTTAAGATTAGTTTAAATTAAAAACAAAAATAGAATAAATGTAAAGATACTTCAAAGTTAAAATAAAGAACATAAATCATGTTCCGGAATTCTTCATAGTTTCCAAAACAAACCAAATACGTCAGTACTTGTCAATTTGATTGGCCTCTGCCCGTTTAAAAAAATCGGCTCATTACATTGTATAAGGCCTGATACTCGGTACCACAGTGGGGAATATTTACCAATCAGCAGTGATTGTAAGGGAGAAATTCGTGTAAACATTCCTGGAATGCAATACCAGTCTTTTCCGTTTAATATGTAGTGATTGAGTCTAAAGATAAAATCTTATTATGCACAAAGTTAATAGACCAAACGCGAATTAATGCTTTCATAAAGGTTCAGCAATACACCTCTGAAATGCATTACCGGTTACTTAATTGACCTTTATGTACATATATTTTCTGTAATTGCAGCATGTCCCATGTCGGATGAACACACCATTCGTTGTGTTCATGTAGGGTCAATGGTCACTCAAGATAATAATAACACCTGTAATACATTTAATAACAATTAATGAAATAGCACAGACTTGCCGAAATTGTCAAGTTTAAATTAGTAAGGAGGAGTCGTTGATATGTTTCACTGCAAACCAGTGGAAACACACTAACGCAATAAGAACCTAAAGAATGTTTAAGCACTATGGACACGGAGTATGATTTCTGACATTACCTTTGAATCTGTGAAAACAAACATCTAAATAAACATGTAAATTATTTCAAGTATTCATAAAAAGATATATTTTTAGTTACATTTCTGCCTATGAAATATATATCAGTGTGGTATGACTTAACTTTACCAGTAGCGTAATGTCTTTATGTTTGTGGACATAAACAATACGATGCTATCTCCAGCCTCAGTGTTTAAGTATATGTGCCCGCTACATTTCTACGAACTCCTCTACTCACTTTTGCCCAGCCGTTCCTATAGAGCTCGGTACCCTTTGTCTACATTATGTTCGGATACCCGGCCTTATTTATTGATAAGGACTTGGTTCATTTCCAGTTTCGAGATGACTTATGCTATTTGCAACGAAGAGAAAATAAAACATTGTGACCGTTACCCGTTGCTAGGTGCAAAACAGACGAAAGACAAAGTCCAATAAATTAACACAAATTATAAAGCATGAACAACATTGCGTTTTCTAGATATCACAAACATCTCGACTGTTTAACTCACTTGCATATAGTCTAATAACAATCTACATGAATAGAGAATCACACTATTTCTTTGACGGCAACCATTTCCAATGTTTTCCATTCATTCGAATGAACAAACTTAAATCCCGTTATCTGAGTAGGCAAAAATCATCTTTTTACGTGAGAGCAACTAACTCTAATTAATGCGGAGATGGCGAGTCCTGCCGGTGGAACAATGAGTCATTGACGATGCTATGGATTTCATAACGAAATAGTAAGTGAAAAGTGTATTGATAGGACACTATTTCCGCTTGGAGGATTATTTGATCAAAAGTGACCTTTCCTGAGTATGCGGGATTCCGACAGCTTACTACATGTACTTTGAAAATATGATTTAGTCGCATCAGAGATTGGTAGAGATCGTAACATTGGGAGTCGAACCATTTGGTATCGTCATGAATATGTCTTCCCAATTATCCAGTTCCGATTTCTGGGGTATTATTTCATTGTATACGCCTTCCCCATTATCCAGTTCTGTTTTGTCTGGTTTGTTAATATCATCGTTCGTTTGTTGGTCTGACGGCACACTAATTGTCGAGACGTTCACATCTGTGACGCTTGGTTTGGGAGTCACTGTTACTTCCGTAACAGGTCCAACCAATGAAAATATCAACGGAAGTAACAACAACGAATGCGCTAGCCCAAATACCATAACTAAGAACATCAGTTTAAAGAAACTCTTGAATATATACGAGGATGAGAATGCGAGGACCACAATCCCCATAATAGAAGAAATGGCGGCGTTGATGATAGGGCCACCAGCACGATCTAACGCTCTATGTACACGTTCCTTTCGTGTGGCACCGTCTACTGTAATGTATGCATGACAGATATGCGCACTAAAATCGACGGAAAATCCGATACTCAAGACAATATCGATCATAGTAATCGAGCTCAGGGTGAGGTCCCAGAAATGCATAAACCCAAACATGCCGGCACATATCATCACCATGGTACCGGTGACGCAAACAACAAGTAAAGGATGAGGCATAAACAGCAATGTAACCACAAACATCGCGGCTATAGCCACACCGACTGTTGTGAAAGTTATCGAGAAAACTGAAGCGTACTCGTCAAAATATATAAACGGCCAAGAAAAACAAACTACTGGAAGAGGAGAATTGTCTGCTACTTCACGCATTTGTAGCATTATGTTTCCTCTTTCTTCAGAATCGGGTAGATCGTTTGTCAAAACGAAAAACCTCGCACCGACAATGTTCGTTTCAGCGCTGTTGATGACTACGTCATTGGCGTGGTCCGGTCGGGTTGTTAGGAAAGTTTTTAGGCCTGCTATGAAGCTTGTCTCACTGACAGCACTGTAATACCCGGAACTCTTGTAGTCCGTGAGCCAATCAAAAGTTACACTCGGATTAATGTCAGCGTCAGCTCTGGCGTTCGATAACAGATCGGAAATACGACTTTGGATAGTAGCGTCAGAGTAGGTCTGAGTTGACGTTACTGTAAACCCTATGGTGATCTCCGAGGTGAAATGGCCCTCTGTGAGCTTACTGTAGGTGTAAAAATACGAGTCTTCATTCACTAAGTTACTGAGGAGCAGGCCCCGCTTAAAATTTGTTATACCGTAAACAGTTGCTGCCAAATAAGCGACGAAAAGCACTGCTATCGTTATCTTTCCTGGTAAACTTTGAACGATATTTTGAAAAAATAGCTTTGGATATTTTTCTAAAGGACTCTCGTTGTCATTCCTTTTCCTCGGAACTTGTCCACCACAACAAAAAACATGGCAACCGGGTTTCCCCTTCGCTCGTAACTCCTCGCGAGTTTCTATAGGACGACACGTTCCACAGTGGTAGTGTCGGGCCATTCGGCGTTCATTGATCGCCATACAGGGAAGGAAGAAGGTCAGTTGGTTGATGTAGCAGAATAGGACAGCGACTCCTGAAGCATACAAAAACATAGCAGATATATAAAAACATACAGTTTCAGAAAGCTCTGAGGCATTTTGAACGAGATTGCCATGATCAACGTTTGTTCATTGTAGTAAAATACATGTAATTGCTAGGTCATGTTGGCTAGATTGACTGATCTGGGGTTTGGATGATTCGCTGTCAAACTTTGATGATAACTAAAACACGTGCTTGCGGAGGAATTTACCTGCATACAGACAGAAGTTCCTGACGCTGATAAAGGAAGCTGATGCACCAATGGCAAACGCCAGAAAGTCGGTGATAGATGTGATGGTGATGGCCACGCCCCCTGTTCTCATCGTCTCTTTGAGCTTCTCTTCAATCGTCCCTTTCACTGGACAGTCCGCCAGACAGGACATCAGGATAAACATGTCGTCCAGACCAATACCTACATAAAACAGTCCCATTTATGCACAAGTATCGATTTGATAAAACAGTACAGGTTAATACCTGCAGGGTTATCATATTGATACCAGATATCTATAAAAATTGTCTACAAATTATTTACTAATAAATGTTCCTACGTACATATCAGTTTAATACCAACACATTCAATATTACAATGTATGTATATAGAAACAACAGATACATGTACTTGAACAAACAACATTCGGAAACCCAAACAAACAACATTCGGAACCCAACACATCAACAGATTTTTCCTATACAAACAACAGTCTGTTTCCTACCCAAACAGCAGTCGGATACCTACGATAACAAATATTTAATTTACATTCATAAGATTCGGTTAATACTTATATATTTTATTTCTTTATTCCAGTCCTTAGATCAGCCTACCGACAATTTTATGTTTGTATTCGATGAGATTTGGTAGTTGGAAATATGTACGTCTCAAATTTTTACTTTATACACAAACAATGTACGAACCAACTTAACTGGGTTTATCATGTTAAACAGGATTTATATAGAATGGGTTTTAATCATATTTGGGATGTTCAATATTTTCAAAATGAAAAACAGTTTGTGGAAATGTATACTCAACGTCTGCATGACATAATAATGTATTTAAGGATTGCATGGTGCGTTTAAAACATCTTCCAAACGTCTTTTAGTATTCAATTCTATTTAGTAAAGCCTCTAACTTCTATTTCCAAACATTGTTGAGTCAGTATCGCATGCAGGCGAATTCCCTTAACATAGAATCTGGACGTTACCATGGTGTTCCGAGAGGTCAAAGAATATGTCTAGCTTGCGATAAAAACTATATTGAAGATGAGATCAATTGTATTCTTGCTTGTCCTGCTAATTCTATACTGAGAAACACATACTTTAAGCAATATTACTACCGACGCCCAAGTGTATATACATTTATTGAATTATTGTCATGCTAAAAATATCAAAACATTACTTGGATTGGGCAAAAAGAAAAAAAAATCGTGCAGTAATAGTGCTGAAGTATGTATACATTTTTGTGTGATAAATGTTAATATGGAATTGTCCTCCGCCATGTAAAAAAATGAAATATGTTTTGTCTGCTATATATACATTTAACCTATATGCTGTATTGCATTCGGAAATAAAAACTTGAAACTTGAAAAATCAAACATATTTTAACTTTTCAAGATCAATTGGCCCTTTGCCAAGAAATGACCGATCGAGCGATTTGTATTGTTTACATGTACAAAGATGTGACGAAATTGTAAACGGGACGTTTCGCCTATAGATAGAGAGCATATAACGTTAAACCGATGATTTAGTTGATAAGTTAAAATTTATAATAAAGATTATCTGTCACGCATTACTCACCTATGATCAGAAAGGGAAGCGTTCCGACGATACTGACAAACTTAACACCAACGGCACTGACCAGGCCAAACCCTCCAAGGATAGCGATTCCTGTTGCGACCACACCTGCGCGGCCCAGATTTTGTCTGTCGGAAACACAGTCTCCGCCGGAAGTGGCGAATCCAGCGTAACTCAACATCATTGCCATCGTAACGGCAAAGTACAGGATATCTCCGTTCACATTCTTCGCCAACTCGTCATCCAAAGATGTTGATGTTGAATAAGCAATGTCAACCAAAGAGGAGGAGACCGTTTCTAGCATCTCTATGTACTTTTTTTCCCAGTCCGTGGACCGTGAAGATGCTGTTGATGTGTCCTGTCTCAGATAGAAAATCAACCTAACCATTTTAGCGGAAGTGAGGTAGCCTCCTGACGACTGTGCATCCCCAAAAGCCCCACTGAGATATTCAAAATTAAATAGTGGGTAGCTAATGGTGTTAGACGCCATTGCTGTGCGGAAGGCTGTACTGAAAACAAAGTCCCCATCAACAACACAGCTTCCGCTTCGCAGGGCACAAACGTCCGCCAGACTAAGAGTAGTGCCGTCGATGGTAACGTTTACCATGGTGTTAATGTAGTTGTATATCCTTTCGGTTTCATCCACGTACGTCGTTGTTAGGACGTTAGAACCGTCTTTAGGTTTAATAATAATGTCAGCGTACATGTTTTGCTCTGTAGTGCTCTTGCTGTAGAAGTTCGAGCCGGACTTGTCGTCGGTGAAGATACTCCTGACGACGGCCCGGTCTGCCTTGGACTGGCTGTTTTGGGGTGTATACAGCGTTTCGGTGTCTGTTTCACTCTCTATCCGGAACAGCCCTAGTCCAAGCAGACAGTTGATGGTCACACAGGCAATCAAGATATGCCATGGATATCTCGATACCATTGCTCCATATTTCTCGAAGGGTGTTCCTAGTTTTTCTTCCCACCTCTTATAAAATCTTGTAAACTTCATTTTGGGACCTGTAAGTTAAAATTGATTCATATGTACAGAGAATCTTACATGTATCAAAAAAGATAACATTAAGTATTTTGAGAAAGGAAAATTATTTACTTTACAGTTCCTGCAGAAAGCATGCTTTTGTTTGACCAGGGGCTTTGACCCAGGAACAACGGCTATTCGGCCCAGCCCAATGACAATCGTTAAAGTAACAATATGGACTATACAGGGTTCTATTCTTTCAACTAACTTGGTTACCTGTAACACTAGCATTAGTAGAGGTAGCAGTGGAGACAAGAACTCTAGTAAGACACAAAAGTATTATAAATCAATTACTCTAAGAACAAAGTAATAACCTTGGCCCGTATTCATGAAACCATTCTCATGCTCAAACTTAAATTCTGTGCTCAATCGCAATACCTTGTTTCCGTGATAAATCGATAGAAAAAATACATTTTGTCAATGATATTGAAGACTTTTGGTGAGACTTACAGCCGACCAATATATTGTTTTCAATATTTACACTTGACTTTTTGACCGTATTAAATTATTTAAGCAAGTTACAAGAAAGTTGGCTTGAGCACAATATTCACTCTTGAGCATGAGAACGGTTTCATGAATACGGGCCCTAGTCCCTGCATTCTGACGTTATTGGTCCCTATATATGTATCAAATGTTAATGTTTACCAGAATAAGGTTATAACATGCACTTGTGTTGATTTGTAACATAATTTAAGATCCCTAAACTTACAGCCATTTAGGTTACTGCCGCTAGAATTACAGCCCTTTGCGTTACTGTCGCTAAATTACAGCCCTTTGAGTTACTTCCCCTAGATTTACATTCCTTTGGATTACTTCCCCTAGAGTTACAGCCCTTTGAATTATTCGCCATAAACTTAAAGCCCTTTGAGTTTCGTTTCCTTGAGCTACAGCCCTTTGAGTTACGTTCCCTAGAGTTACAGCCCTTTCAGTCACTCTCCTAGAACTACAGCCCTTTAAGTTACAGTCCCTAGAGTTACACCTCTTTGAGTTATAGTTTCTACAATTACATCTCTTTGAGTTACAGTCCCTACAGTTACAACCATTTGAGTTAAAGTTCCTGCAGCTACATCCCTTTGAGTTACATCTCTAGAGTTACAGCCCTTTGAGTTACAGTTCCTACAGTTACATCCCTTTGAGTTACAGTTCCTACAGTTACAGACATTTGAGTTACAGTCCCTAGAGTAACAGCCCTTTGAGTTACAGTTTCTACAATTACATCTCTTTCAGTTAGTCCCTACAGTTACATCCCTTTGAGTTACAGTTTCTACAGTTACATCCCTTTGAGTTACATCTCTAGAGTTACATCCCTTTGAGTTAGTTCATACAGTTACAGCCATTTGAGTTACAGTCCCTAGAGTGACAGGCCTTTGAGTTACAGTTTCTACAGTAACATTCCTTTCAGTTAGTCCCTACAGTTACATCCCTTTGAGTTACATATCTAGAGTTACAATCCTTTCAGTTAGTCCCTACAGTTACAGCCCTTTGAGTTACATCTCCAGAGTTACATCCCTTTGAGTTACATCTCTAGAGTTACATCCCTTTCAGTTAGTTCATACATTTACAGCCATTTGAGTTACAGTCCCTTGAGTAACAGCCCTTTGAGTTAGTCCCTACAATTACATCCCTTTCAGTTAGTCCCTACAGTTACAGCCCTTTGAGTTAGTCCCTACAGTTACAGCCCTTTGAGTTACAGTCCCTACAGTTACATCCCTTTGAGTTAAATCTCTAGAGTTACATACCTTTGAGTTAGTTCATACAGTAACAGCCATTTGAGTTACAGTCCCTAGAGTAACAGCCCTTTGAGTTAGTCCCTACAGTTACAGCCCTTTGAGTTACAGTCCCTACAGTTACATCCCTTTGAGTTACATCTCTAGAGTTACATCCCTTTGAGTTAGTTCCTACAGTTACAGCCCTTTGAGTTACAGTCCCTTTCAGTTAGTCCCTACAGTTACATCCCTTTGAGTTACAGTCCCTAGAGTAACAGCACTTTGAGTAACGTTGTCCCCTAGAGCTATTGGTCCCTAGAAGAGCCGATTCCGAGAACTTGTGTACTCTACTATACTTGAAGCTGTTGGAACATATGTTGGAACATACATGCATACAGTGTAGCAACTGTACCTAGAGTTGAGTTATTACGTAATGGAAGTAGTGTGTTCTAAAGTTGAAGTGTCTTAAAGACACTATGATCTGGATATAATGTACTTCAGCTACTGAGTCCGGTATATAAAGATTCCCTTTGTCCGACTTTACTGGTCTCTTGAAGCAATGTGTCCACGAGTTCTTGCGTTCTGCACTTAATATTTTCTAAAGTAAAAGACATTTTGCGTTACCGTTCACTAAATCTACTATTTTGTAAAGTTACTGTATCCTAGTAAATGAAGGGGACAGTAAGGTTCTTTTACCGTAGCACTAGGACATAGTTATATACTGAAATCAGTACCTAAATGATACAGTTCTTAACTTTAGAGAAAGGTATCGTAGGGAACACTAAGTGTAGGAGACAGNAGAACCAAAGCCGGATCGCCGAATCCGGAATACTAATAACTGGCGGTAAATCTAGTGACTGATATAAATAGTAATTAAGTGGCGCTATAGACAGATGACAGGAAACACCGTAAACCAGAAACAGTTTTAACCAATGAAGGACGTTATGACTGCAGGACACAGTCAATATTATAGGACAAAGTAACTTGTAACTCTAGGACTAACTCTCGGCCACATCATTTAAGCTAGGACACATACTCTAGAAACCAGTACCTCTCTTTCATAAACCATGCAGTAACATGGTAACTCCAGGGATAAATAAATCTAGGGACACGGTTTCTCTTGGGCACATCAGCTCTCAAGGGACGGTAACTCTAGCTACCACAAACTCTCTGTCAGACTAACTCTACAGACCATTTAACCTAGGGCACTGTCACAGGAACCAGGAACAAACCTGGTAACTCCAGGAGTAAATAAATCATCAGCTGTCAAGGGACATGTGATAAACTCTAGCTAAAATAAATTAAATACCTACACATATAACCCTAGAAATCAGTTTAATACTGCTATGACTGTTTACCTCCAGGGGTATATGTACACTAATCTAAGACACAACACCTAAATACAGGGTCAGTAACTCTAGGTTACACACCTCTAGGTTACACTAACTCTAGCAATAACATTAGAGACCTACATGTAGATACACTCCTCTGTGACACAACACCTACATATAGGGTCAGTCACTCTGGGTACCAGAGCCTCTTGAACACAATACTGTTTTCTTCGCATGGACTAACAAATTCAAATCGTACGATTAGTCGACGAGCTGTATCTACTGCCATGAGCTGTTATTACAGCTAGTGTTATCGGTCAGCATCACCTTAAAGCTTGCATGCACTACATATACACGTACATACATTTGAATGTACAGTGTTCACAAGAACGAACACACGTGTACTAGATAAACTGTACGTTACTTCAGTCACCAATGTAACACCCCGTATGAGGCCTATTTTATGTGGACTATATTACAAATATACGTTACCTCAGACGGATACCCCTAGTTAGTCCTCAAGGCCTCGGAAGCACACACACACACACCTCGCTGAATGGTTGGTTACCACGGAAACGTCGACAACTGATGCAGTCCTTCTCCTTGTTACCATAATGTTAACCTTGATATCTGTAAAACCAACACATGTGGATATTTACTTCCGGAAAGCATACACACAATTAGTCTGTGGCTTGGTTCAAATAAATCGATGATTGTAATGACGTACGTAGGTTACGCCAATATTATGCTATTTATACATGTATATAAAACGTACGCGTCACGCCTCGTAGAACATTGTCACACAATGACTTGCCCACATACATGGCCTGTGTGTATATATGGGATCATGTGTACACGTAAACACAATAACCTCTGGGCATGTATACCAGGGACGTATAGTACTATATACTGTCCCTGTGTATACATAGTTGGTCATCTTCGCCTACCAAGGGTTACGATCCGGTACGATCAGGTCTTCCAACTCTCCAAGATCGTATCGGATCGTTATAACCCTAGGCTAGCGAAGATGGTAGATGCATGATATATATATACATATAAATACGGCTGGATATAGATCAAACGTTTGCTAGTTATATTATCAACATTGTATGTTTATAATACAATTAAGGATTATCTTTTAATTGTCTTTGTTCATGAGGTAATAAATCAAGTATAGCTTACCGTAAATTGCATAAATCTCAGGTAATGACAATATTTTCGAAATTACAATCATTTAATAGACTCATTGAAGGGATTCGACTAGCCGCTGAATAGAAAGTGAGATTTCAGATTTTGTATGGATAATATTTTCTTTTTTTCTCTCATCATGTACTGTTAGTAATATCTCACAATGTAGCAAATGCTTTACCGCGACCAAAATGATCAATGTTTGGAAGCTTCGTGATTTTATAGTATCGTATACCCGAAATTTCGCCATTGAAAACGCCGCTTCCAGTATCCAGTAACGGGTTTTAATGGGACCACGCCAAGAAAGCGTAACCACTAGATTTTCGAAGATGAGGAGCACTCATTCTACGACTCGGATTATGTCATAATTTATATTTGTTACTAACTTATTCGTAACTTTGTTCCGCGGATTTTAACCTATACAGTTTAAATTATGGAAAACCGAGACCAGTTTAGCCCATTTTAATATTTGAAAGAGAAATTACATACCTTTCATCAAATAATATTTAAATGGACACACAAGCATAAGTAAGAAACGGAGAGGAGAAGCAGGCCTTATCTTCTCAGTCATCCAACCTACCTTGTGGAGTACAGATCTCTTCACAATAAGTGTAACTTTTACACGATGCTTGAAAGATCTTCAAGAGTTTTGATGATCACCAATTATGCCGGGGGGTCGTCAAAATTCAATCACGAAAGATTGCGATGATAAGGGAAACCATCGCGTTCCCCCGCGATCGGTACGCTAAAGATCACGAAACGTTAGCAAGACCCACCGTGTTCGCTGTGCTCACTCAGGCGGCGAGAGACGTCGATCTCTATTTACCTGTGAAAATGATATATCAGGGGATGATGATAAGCTATAGTCAGTGGCGTTTCTTTTGATAATGTTTTATCAATTTCATTTCAAAAGCAAAACATACAGACAGAACTAAGAGAGATATGTATTTTAAGTATCTAACATTACAATCGTATTTGTTAACTAACTGAAATGCATTGCTCATTTCCTTTCTATGGGTGTCATAAATTACCGCTACATATGAGCACGGACTTCAGTAGCGATCTATTTCCGTGAATCTACGTAATGTCGGCTTATATAATACATTTCGATTTCGTTTTAATAAAAACGCGATAGCGAAAGTTTGGTACCGCAAAAGTAATGTTACGAT